TAGTGCACTTTGAAATTCTCTAAGTATATCCTTCATTTCCAGAAGTTGTGATTGTTTTTTTATGTATGCTATTTCACTAGATATTTTTCCATTCATATCCTGTGTCATTTATTTTATTTTTTTAAGTTGAACTTTTTCTTCTGTGCCTCCTTGATTGGCTTAATAGTCAACCTTCTGAATTCTTTTTCTGGTGATTCAGATACTGGCTTAGTTTGGATCCATCACTAGTGAGCTACTGTGAGCTTTTGGGGGTGTTAAGAAGCTTTCTTATGTCGTATGCCAGAATTGTTTTTCTGATTTCATCTCATTAGGGTAGACTATGTCTCACGGAAAATCTGAGACCCAAGGACTGCTGTTCAGGTTCTTTTGTCCCATGGGGAGCTCCCTTGATGTGGTGCTTTCCCCTTTCCCCTAGGGATGTGGCTTCCTGAGAGCCAAATTGCAGTGATTGTTATTTCTTTTCTGAATCTAATCACCCAGTGGAGCTTATAGACTCCAGGCTGGCACTGGGGAGTGTCTGCAAAGAGTCCTGTGATGTGACCTGTCTTCAGTCCTCTCGGCCATGGATACCAGCACCTGCTCTGGGAGAGGTAGCAGGGAAGTGAAGTGAACTCTATGAGGGTCCTTTGTTGTATTTTTGTTAAGTGTGCTTGTTTTGTGTTGGTTGGCCTCCAGCTGGGTAGTGGCATTTTCAAGAGTACATAAACTGTGGTAGTATAGGGAGGATCAGACGGTGGGTGGAACTATAGAGCTCCTGAAATTATGTCCTTTTTCTTCAGCTACCAGGGTAAAGACCACCAGTTGGGGGCAGGGTTAGGTGTGTCTGAGCTCAGGCTCACCTTGGGTGGGGCTTAATGGAGCTGCTGTGTGGTATGAGGTTTTGTTCCCAGGCCAACGGAGTTATGTTTCCAGGGAGATTATGGCTGCCACTTGTGTATCACACAGGTCGCCAGGGAAGTGGTGGAAGTCCAGCAGTCACAGGTCTCACCCAGTTCTCAAGCAGTTCACAGCCTGAAAGACTGGTCTCCCTTCCACCATGCCCCTACAATATCACCAAGTTTATTTTCAGGCAGCAGTTGAGCAGGGCTGAGAATGTGCCCCAGGCTACAAACTTCTGAGTCAAGAAAGCAAGCTGACTCACAGTTCCTTGGCTATCCCACAAAGGCTGTGGCAATACACCTACTTCAAAGGGTCTGTGGATTTTCTCAGCTTTCCTGGTATGTTCCCGCAGAATTGTCTGGAGCAAAAGTTCACAATGTGGGTCTCCAAACACAGTTCTGTTAGTCCAAGTGGGAAGCGCAGTTAGTCTTACCTCCTATTTGCCATTTTCCCTTACTATCACCTCCATAGAAATTTTATTCAAAATCCAGTTCTGCTGTGATTTTTGTTATTTTTTTTTTTCTTCTGCTAGCTTTGGGGTTTGTTCTTGTTTTTTTAATTCCCCTAGTTAATTTAGTTCCCCATTAATTTGCTATCATTCTAAATTTTTGAGATAGGCATTTAGTGCTATAAACTTTTCCCATAAGACTGCTTTTGCTGCCTCTTTTAGATTTTGGTATGCTGTGTTTCTGTTTTCTTTTATGTCAAATATTTTTTTTATTTCTACCTTCATTTTGTTGTCTACCCCAGTCATTCAGGTCAAGTTGTTTAGTCTTCATGCATTTGTGTATGGGATATATTATTGATATTAATTCCTGTTTATTCCATTATGGTCCAAGAATATGTTTAGTTATCGGTACACCAAAATCTCAGAAATCACTACTAAAGAACATATCCATGTAACCAAAAATCACTTGTACCCCAAAAACTATTGAAATGAAAAAAGAGAATAAGTCAGAGAAAAATAAAAGATGTTTATCATCTCTTCATTTTCTGGATTGCTTTGGAAGTTTGTGTTGATTTTCAACGTTGTGTTGAATCCTGTGGAGCTTCCTTACAATCCATGCTTTGAATACTTTTTTTTTTTTTTTTTTTTTTTTTTTTTTTTTGAGACGGAGTCTCCCTCTGTTGCCCAGGCTGGAGTGCAGTGGCCAGATCTCAGCTCACTGCAAGCTCCGCCTCCCGGGTTTACACCATTCTCCTGTCTCAGCCTCCCGAGTACCTGGGACTACAGGCGCCGCCACCTCGCCCGGCTAGTTTTTTGTATTTTTAGTAGAGACGGGGTTTCACCGTGTTAGCCAGGATGGTCTCGATCTCCTGACCTCGTGATCCGCCCGTCTCGGCCTCCCAAAGTGCTGGAATTACAGGCTTGAGCCACCGCGCCCGGCCTTTGAATACTTTATCTGTCGTTTCTGAGTTTCCATTTTTGTTAGAGACCGTTGCTGGAGAGCTAGTGTAATCCTTTTGTGGTGCCACTACATTCAAATTTTTACGAGCAGAATTCTTGTGTTCTTATGTAATAGGGCTTCACTCACTTTTATCAACCAGATACTGTCACAAGGATTGTTTGTTCATGCTTTTCTCCCTGGAATCTGGAATATCCTTCAAAATTTTGGTGGATTGCTGTTTTCCTTCTGAATTAAAGCCCACAGAGTTGATCTTTATGCACCATCTTGCTATTTCCAAGTGGCTGAGGCATGCTAAAAGCCTCTTATCTGCCATCTTGGAACAAAACAATAACAACATGTTTTTTCTTTATCAAATTCAGAAAATAGAATGATGCAGCTAAAGAAAATATTTAAAATGTCCTTGTCCCACTGTTGCTACAATGTGCACTACATGTGAGTAAATGTGAGGGTTTTTTTTTTTTTTTTTTTTGAGATTATGTCTGATTCATTTTTATAATGCCAGTGCCTAAAATAGCATCCAACACATACTGATTTTAAAAAATCAGTATGTGATAAATCACTGAAAGACCACTGAATTGAGAGGCAGGACATCAAGGTCAAAATTAGGAAGGCAGAAGCTTAATGTACTGGAAGATCACTGTTCTTGAAATGAAGAAAAACGTACTCTAATTGAAGGTGTACTCTAAGTTTCCTTTGTCTCATTATTTTCAATTCTATTTATTTATCAGTTCCTTTCATCTGAGCAAATGTCACAAGATAATCTAATAATTGTTTCTTTTTGATCATGAAAATACATGTAATTACTACTGAAAAAGTATTCTTTTTAAGTATAGCCGCTGCTAATGGTTTGGCTCTGTGTCCCTACCCACATATCACTTTGAATTGTAATAATCCCCATGTGTCAAGGGTGGGACAAGGTGGAGGTAATTGAATCATGGGGGTGGTTGCCCCCACGCTGTTCTCCTGACAGTGAGTTCTCATGAAATTGTGTAGTTTTATAAGCATCTCGCATTTTCCCTGCTGGCACTCATTCTCTCTCCTGCCGCCCCATGAAGAAGTGCCTTCTGCCATGATTGTAAGTTTCCTGAGGCCTCCCCAGCCATGTGGAACTGTGAGTCAAATAACCTCTTTTCTTCACAGATTACCCAGTCTTAGGTATGTCTTCACAGCAGTGTGAGAACAGACTAATTCAGCCACATAACCCCAGTGTATTAGCCACAGGAGAGACAAGTGGATGAACCACAAGTAGGAGATAACTTTTACCACCTAAAACCTGTATCAATATTGAGTTACCTGTGTGTGCTTCCTCTCACCTTTGAGGTAGGATGGGTGGAGGAAAATCATTAGGCCTACCACTTAAATTAAGAGATGTGGTCAACAAAGACTTTAAATGCTCAGAGAATGGAATAGATGCGTTGTGAAAGCCATTTCAATGGTCAGTAAGACTTTATGTTGCTGATCACTCCAAAATTTTTCTCTTGTTTTATTGTCCTCCAGTGGTATAATATTCTTTGATTTTCTTTAAACATATGAAACATGAGCAGCCTCCTTCCAGGTGTTTTAGTCTGCCTGTAAAGCCTGCTCTTGAATATTCATACAGCAAACTCCCTCATCTCACTCAAGACTTTTACTTCATGACTTTTACTTGGCCGTTACATTCAGAAATTAGCCAAGGAACTAGTTTGAAGGTTTGATTCCAAATATCTGTAATTCAATATTTACTGTTGTTAATCATAAGGAATGGAATTAGGACAGAATACATTTTAAACAATAGTGGACCCTCAAGCTAATGCTATTCATATTATCAAAAAAAGCCTCAGGAGAATTTAAAGGATCTAAAGAAAAATTTCCTTTCCCTTCCCTTCCCCTTCCCCTTCCCCTTCCCCTTCCCCTTCCCCTTCTCCTTCCCCTTCCCCTTCCCCTTCCCCTTCCCCTTCCTCTTCCCTCCCCTCCCCTCCCCTGCCTTCCCTTCCCCTCTGCTCCCCTCCCCTTTCTTTCTCTTCCCTTTCTTTCTTTCCTTTTCTTTCCCTGTGTCTCACTGTATGAAAGTAAAAAAAGAAACACATTAGGCCGTTCACATTAGGCTGTGTGTTATGGCCCAAAATATTTGTCATTCTGTCAGGCCAGTTGCATTTCCATACTAAGGGTAAAACCATACCTAAAAATGACAGAAATTTTGCTAGAGAAATTTAGAAAAATATGTCTGCTTAACAAATGATGCAGTGGTTTGTCTGTAAATAGTAATATAATTAATACCAAGAAATGAACTAAGAAAAAGCTTCTGAAAGTGTGGAGGTAACAACAAACGTGCCATCCAATACTCCCATAATTTATTTACACTAATAATAAAATGAAAGCAGTTGCCCAGGTAAATATCTCAGAAGAGTAACCAAAACTCATTAACTTCCAACCCAAGTATGCTCCTTCATTGAGGATGGATCACTCCTATCTAGTTCAGGAAAAGAAGAAAAAATATCAGGCTGGTTGTCTAGCATTAGCCACAGAAGACTTGTGTTGAAAAAAATAATTATAAGACTATAGCAAAACTTGCATGAAATCATTCAAAGAAAAATAATAAACTCTCTTCTGACATGAATAGTTAGCATATATCCTAAGACTAAGCCTGATTTTAACGTAGAGTGAAAACAAAAGGCAACTTTATGTCTTGCAAGTTTTGGCATTTTTTTTTTCTCATTTTCAAGCACAGAAATTGTCTATTTTAAATATATATATATATAAAATATGAATAGTATTCTGCTCCCTCTAAAGAATATGAATTTATTCATAGAAGCATTGATGACATCTTTGACCGAGCTAGATGTTTCAGCTTCTAGCATAAAAGAAAAAACCTGAGAGAGAAACAGTGACCGTTGCCTACCCCAGCCCACTCATTGTGTTTTTCAGAGGCACTTTTTAACTTTGATATCACCTGGGACAATCCTGTTTTTGCATAATGACTCTGTCTCTTTCATTTTTATGTTCTAAAATCCCACTCTGTTTGTGCACTTAAAATATCTATGCCCTTTGTTTTCAATGAACAGTGAAGAATTCATCTGGGTTCACCACAATGCTTAGCAATTCATTCGGTTTGCCTTTCAAAGATGAGGTGATGTATACACTTTGTACTGACAACAGTATTAGAGAATCCAACCTAATGAATGAATTTTCAGCGGTAGGTAAGGATTATTATGATCCAAAGCCCATCTATTGGGCTGCAGCCCTCATGTACAGCTGTCAGGAAATTCTCCAAACCATAGCATTCTTATCTTGTGAAAAAACAGAAAACCCTTCTGAAATATTTATCTTTATAATACATTCTAGAATACATTATGTTCCAGTTATTTTACCTTTCTCTCATATAATTTATGGATCTTCAGCAAGAATAATAAGAAGAGATGCACAGAGAACAAAAAGAAAAGCTGAGGTAAATGGAAACAAATGGTAGAATTTGTAGATTGTTGCTTTTGCAAGGTAATTTGAAAGAAATAAGGGAAGCTGAGCAAAACAAACTCAGACGATGAATATGTTCTTGTACCCTGAAGAAGAGGAGATTGAGAACTGCTGAAGAGAGACTGAGTGGAGTCATTCATCCATTCATCTATTTGTCCTCCCAGAAATGCTTATTATAATTCTATTATGAGTCAGGCACCTATTAAACATGAGTAGATAAATCTGAGTGCTATAATCTCTAACCTCATGGAGTTTAGACTAGTTAAAATACATGGACATCACATAAATAATTAAACAAATAGTAATATAAATGCAATTGTAACCAAGTGATTCAGTTCCAAGCATTTCCAGCATGTGCTGATGCACTCTGAGATAGAGTTATCTTTGATGGGGCTGGTATAACAGTCCATGTTTTAGAGACTAATTGGGATAGCTATCTTTTGCTCACATGTGATTTCCCTCTGGTGCAACTTTGCTGATAGATTAGTTTGTTAGGCATTTCGACACGGAATATTCACATTTATTCATTTCTTTCTGAACTGAATTCATTCATTTCTTTCCAAACTACAGAGTGAAAAATTTTAGAGCTACCACAAAAGAAGAGGATTGAAAACCCTCTACATTATACTGAAGAATAATAACTAATTGTACTTTTAATTCATAGTCTTCATTAAGGCTAGCACCAGTCTAGTAATTTTGTGACATTCTTTAAAACCTAGCATTAAAATCTTTTTCCACAGATTTATATTGATTTAATGAACCGATGCTCCAATATTTAAATGTATTCAATTTGATTTCAATTATTCTGAGAGTCAAAAATTTATCACCAAGTTAAATTATATTATGTATGAGAAACAGAGAAAGATTAGATAAATTTGTAAAGCATAAAATGATCACTATTCTAATTTAAAAGTGATCTTCTACTAGTGACAAAACTAAAACAAAAGGGAGCATTTCTAGTTTGTATTGGAAACCCATGTGGAGGGACACATTCGTTTTTAAATGGAACTATGTTTATTATGAAGGTGAGTCCTGTCTATGAAGACTTTTACTTGGAAATTCTCATATGTAAGTGGTAGGATTTCTGGAGTGTTCAGCTAGCATAACATTTTTAATAATGCTCAAAACTGTGTAAAGGAGCCTATAACTGCTAGAGTGAGTGAGCTGAGCCAAAGCTGAACAGCTCTGGATTTCATTGCCAAACAGTTGTAGAGAGATGACAAGCACTGAATTTATAAGTGACTCTTTGCCATGATAGTGCTATTTGGCTGGTTATCTATTATAAAATCATGTTTCAAAATAAGTTTATTTTGAACAAATGATGACATGAAATAATAATAAACATCATACATTTGAACAAAATGGAAATCCAAAATTTAACTGAAATAAATTAAATAATACATAATTTAAAAAGAAAAAGATTGTCTAATATTAGAAATCACCTTTTAAGTCTCAACTTTATGTGTGAAAAGGGGGCAAAATCTGTCCGGTTTGGAGCCTTATGTTTTCAACTACTGTATACCTCCCCTTACTCCAGACATAATAATGACCATTACTGAGCACCTACTATGTGCCAGGTCATTTCTATGTTTTATATACTGATACGTTAAATACTTATAGAAATCCTAGGGAGTGCATACTATTATTGTCTCCATTTTGTAGATGAGAGGACTGCATTATAGAGAGGTGAATAACTGGGGCAAGGTTGTACAACTGCCAAGAAGCCACTGAATGCTTATGTACCTGTGCTTTCCGGCTCTAGAAGCTGTATTTTTAGCTACCCTTCTAGTCTGAATATCTTCTCATTGCCATACCTTTACCAATGGATTTATCCTTGAATCTGTCTCTAGGTACTGCATGGACACATTACAAGTTTCAATTCAGATGTAATATCTCCCATAAATTTTCTTACATTTTTCCCACTCTTAACTGGGTAAGAAACCACGCATATGTGCCACTGCAGAACTCAGGGTTAATAGCACTCATCACACTAGATTTTTAATTACCCTTTCCACCTCTTTGTCTTTCCTACTAGCTTGAGATACTTAAGGGAAGACTTCTTGTGTTCCCAATAAATGTTTACTGAATGTATAAATAAGTATTAAAGAATTATCAGTGAAAATTTTGTGAAACTACTTTTAAAACTGAAAATATCATAGATTATGATTTAATTTCTTGATAAGTGTATTCTATGGCAAAATAGCATCTCACAGAGGGTTAGTTTTTCAATATAAATAAAATGGTGAAATAAAAACAAAAAATGGAAAAAAAATTATTCAAAAAGGCAGACACTGATTTATGTTTACTGCAGGATATTTTTAAAATTGAAAATGGCATTTATGAAACAAAGGGCAGAAAAAAATTGAATTTTACTTTCACTAAAGTATAATACTCTTGATTTTTACAATTGAAAGCATTGACAGTGACTTATCTTGACTTGACAAGGAATAATTGAAGAAATCTTAAAGAATCATGACAACTCTCTTTGATGGTATTAAAATCAAAATTGTTATGAGTGGCACTCAGTATAAGAACACATGACATAATACTAAAAATACAGGAAATAGGTCTCAAATGAAAAAATTTTTATGGCAAAGAATATTATGTCATATATGGAAGAAGTTTCTGATTAAAAAATAAAGAGTGGGCTGGACGCGGTAGCTCAGGCCTGTAAACCCAACACTTTGGGAGGCAGAGACAGGCAGAACACAGTGAAACCCCGTCTCTACTAAAAATACAAAAAATTAGCTCAGTGTGGTAGCGCGTGCCTGTAATCCTAGCTGTTCGGGAAACTGAGGCAGGAGAATCGCTTGAACTTGGAAGGCTGCGGAGGTTCCAGTGAGCCGAAAGTGCACCACTGAATTCCAGCCTAGGCAACAGAGCAAGATTACATCTCACCAAAAAAAAAAAAAAACAGAAAAGTGATACTACAGGACAAATCAATTATATTTGTATTTCTGAAGGTGATGAATGGTTAATTCCTTGCTTGGATCTATGTGTTAGAGAGAAATACCTGTGTTCCTAGAAGTGCACAGGAGCATGCAAAGAGAATTGACAAGGCCTCATTCCAAAGACAAATGGATTAATTAGTTGTGATTGCATCTAAATTACTATTAAGAATCAAGAGGCCATGTAAAAAAGCATAGCATACTAAAAACTGTTTTTTTTTTTTCGTCAAATAAGACAGCCTAAATATGGATCCACCTCCTTACTGACAGAATACCCTAACACTGGTTATTGAACAGCCCCCTAATTTTTATCATGCAGGTAGTTGCAACCTCCTAATACAATTATCATGGAAATTGAAGGAAACCAGGTATGTCAAGTTGCACATCAGACATACATAATAGACATCTTCAGTAAGCTTATTACAGCTATTATTAATTGCATAACAATGAGGATGATCTCAAGTCTTAAAAAGTCAAAATGTCAATTATTTCATTTTCTAACTAGGCAAATGTATTTACCATATATATAGATATATAAAAAATGATTGATTATAAGGAATTGGTTCACATGATTGTGGAGGTTGACAAGTCCCAAATTTTGCAGTGTTAGCAATCTGGAGACCAAGAAGAGCTGGTAGTTTAGCTCCAGTTTGCATCCAAAGACCTGAGAATTAGGAGAGCTGTTGGTGCTGTTTCAGTTGAAAGATCTTGGAGGCACAAGACCCAGGAAGAGTCATTGTTTCAGTTTGCGTTTGATGGTAGGAAAATGCCCATGTCCCAGCCAAATACCATCAGGCAGGAAGAATTTTCTTGTTCAGGGTAGAGTCAACCTTATGTTCTATTCAGACCTTCAACTGATCAGATGAGGCCCATCCACATCCGAGAGGGTTATATAGTTTGGATATGTGTCCTCACCCAAATCTTATGTTAAAATGCAATCCCCAATGTGGAGGTGGAGCCTGGTGGGAGATATTTGGGTCATGAGAGTGGATTCCTCATGGATTGGTGCTGTCCTAATGATAGTTAGTGAGTTCTCATAAGATCAGGTTATTGTAAAATGTGGCACCTCCCCTTTCTCTTGCTCCTGCTCTTGCCATGTGAGATGCCTGCGCCCCCTTAATATTTTGCTGTGATTGTAAGCCTCCTGAGGCCCTCAGCAGAAGCCAAGCAGATGACAATGCCATGCTTCCTATACAGCCTGCAGAACCATGAGCCAATTAAATCTCTTTTCTTTACAAATTACAAATCACCTAATCTTAGATATTTCTCCATAGCAGTGCAAGAACAACCTAACACAGAGGTCAATCTGCTTTGCTCACTCTACAGATTTCAATATTAATCTCATCCAAACACCTCATGAAAACACCTAGAGTAATGTTTCACCAATGATCTGGGTACAGTGTGACCCAGTCAACTTGACACACATAATTAGTCATCATAGCAAATATCATGATTTTCCTTAGGACCATGTGTAGTATCTTAGGTTTTTACTCACAGGAACAATAAGCCTATCTTAAAGCAATTACTCTGAAGCGAAGCATTTATGACATACACAAAAGGCTATCTTTGTCTTTGTCTTTTTTTTTTTCATGTTTATCTTTTTCCTGATAATATGGTTATCATAAAACATTTCTAGGAAGAAAACTGGAAAGGGAAAAAGTTTCTACTGCTGTTATTTTAAACAATATTTTACATGCAGATTCTGGGAGGATTAATCATCACAAATGTCAAATCATCTAAAAATAGCATTTCCCTTTTTAAAAGGCATTATACTTTACAATTTGTGTCAAAATGTATGCTCAACTCTCTTGCAATATTATCTCAGATAACCTTCAGTGTCCCTCCTAACCATTATCATGGTTAGAAAATGAGGCTACCAGGATTCAAGCTCTGATTTACAAACTTAAAAGTATTTCTTGTCCTTTTCAAAAGATCTAACTTCTTTCTTAACTATAATCAAATATCATTTCAGTTTTCACTGATTACAAATTGCATATATTACAAAATAAGGTTGACTTTACAGCATGTTCTAAGCAATTTTTGATACTTGGCTATACTAATGCAATCATTATCATTGTTACCTAAGATAAAGTTATAATTTGTCTCAGCAGGTGATTAAGTATGCAGTTGTTTTAGCCTTGATTCTCATCGCTAATTTTTTGAATCACCAAATACCCCAAACAATAGAATATTAACTATTCTCTGTGAATCATAAAATCTTGTTTCCTAACAAATTTATTTAATTCAAATTAAACTTTTACAAATTTACAGATTTGAGATGGACTGGGGAGAACAGAATAACTATTTTCAATGATGTTCACTCTCAATTTTAACAGTGATCAAAAACTTTATAACAAAAGCACCTACCCTAAGGAGCACCGGCACCTAATACCTGGGTACCCATGGTGAAAATCATCCTGCTTACTAAGAGAAGTATATTGGATAAATAGTCTACATCGTTGAATGTTATGGTTCAATTAAAAGGCAGTGTATTTATGAGTGACATTGAGATAACTGAGAAGCATAAAGTGAAATGTTTATTATTCATTCTTTGTCAATGTATCAATATAGATATCAAAAGAAGATTTTTTAAAATTCCGTAGAGAATAATCTAGGTTCAGAGAGGATTTAATGCTTTGACCAAAGAAATGCATAACTGAGAAAAGTCTTAAAGTGTTCAAATGCCTATCAAGAAAAGAAAAAAAACAATAACAATAATCGCCAGGTTTAGCTGTTGGAGACACAGAAATAAACATGAAAAATTTCTTGATTTCACAGAGCTTAGATTTTGAT